CGCATCGCTGTCCCCAAGAGAATGGAAACAAAAGAGAATGAGTCGGGTACAATCCATGCACCCTGTGTTTTGAGTTTTTTCACTTAGCAGCCTCAACGTTACTGTATGTGGAGATGGTTATCCGATTTGCCTGATCTCTCTTATATGAGTTGATGTAAATTATAATAAGTACTTTTGGATTATATACAATGGAACATTTCACTTTCAGCACGAATCTTTATCGATTGAATTACTTCGACGTATTGTGAAGAAAAAAGATATTCGTGAGGCTTTGGAACGATATCTTGGGACAGGTGCCAAATTCGATGACAACATGACTTTCACTGAAGAGCTCATATCGTCTGATAGATTCGTGAGGGCAAAACTTGTTATGGTTGTGATAAATATGCACTTGATGAGAATATTAAGGCCATGAATCTGTGACATTCCTGCTGGAAATTACTATCGATATATGTATGTATAAGTGAAAGTCATTTTAGGATGCAGCAAATGGAACATGGCTACCTCGTGGTCGCCCTGTGAAAAAAGCGTTCCTCTATGATATCGTTGCGAATGAAAATGATTCCTGTGATGTAGACAAGTTCGACTATCTCATCAGAGATTCACTCAGCGCCGGCATTCCAATTCCATTTAATCAGGTTTATAAATAGAAAATTTCACCACTCTAAAGGTTCAAACTCAAAGGCACACCGCTTAGAAACTATTTAATACCCTTCATCACGGAAGCCTTCAAGAAAACTTCGATTGTAGGCGATCTCTCAAATAATTATGCCTGTGAATCCATACAAGCTCATCTTCTGCTTTCCTGGCACAAATCTTTCATTCAACTTTTGTTAGGTGCTTCTGTTTTACATACCATGTTGTAAGAGTAGGTTAGATTTGATTAGGCACCTCCCCCCGCCCATCTAACTCGAGGAAGCTACATACCCTTCCGGAATAGGTCAGGTGGTACCACATCGTTTTAGTAGGGTGCAAGCCCTCAAATGCGTCCTGCTGCTATTTATCTTACAGAACAAGTTAGCTGCAAAAATGCAATCAAAAGGTGAGGTAGAAGGTCTGTTGCTGTTGTTCGCTCCCATTTTGGGGTGAGCTGCACATTAACTCGGGTCTCCAATTCCCAGACAAATAGAGCGGCAAAGTAAGAATAAGAATAAAGGAATCTATAGATTAGGTTAGAGGCTTTTCCCTAGATCATAGGATATTTAGAAGGGAGAGAGCATAAAGAAGCACTGGCTTGAGGCGTCCCCTACCAGCCCTTTTCCAATGGTACACCACGATGAGCAAACTTGTAAAGTCGCGTTTTGCCGCGACACCGTCCCTTGTCACACGATAACCTGTTAGGTCGCGTCCTTCCACTACAGTAGGCTTCTCTTCTGCGACTTCCCAATTTCCACAATAGTGGCAAAAATTCGGAACTTCTAAACAGTGAACGAACAAGCAGATGCTGTGGAAATTAGAAATGACCGCATAGAGACCGTCATCGAAATTTCCTCTTTATTGACTGTGCAGAGCTGAATTGAAACTATCCATCTCACACATTATAACCTTTTCCCATTTCAGCGTAGCATTGAGCGACTGATGGAAAACGCCAGGGTCCTCCTCGACCCAGAACGTAGATTTCCACGGATATGCTACGCTAAAAAGGTTCGGTCTTCTTGAAATTTCTGCAACTCAACTCTTTTCACTTTAATGCAGGGTTTTACAAGAGGCGTTCCCTCCCTCATCGAGCAATGTGGCCCGTTAACATTACGCGAGATACATACTATAGGTTTTTAGCTAAGGGCATCAATGCAGATTTGCAGCGCCATCCTAGATGTCTTTTTGTTAGCTGGTTTTGCGGACCATTTACTGAATTAGTCAAGATTTTTCTCAAAAATCAAGTTCTATGGGAGCACGGTTGCTTGATATTTCGTTGATCATTCGACTGAGAATAGTCTGAATGTTCTAAACTGATGAAATAATCGTAGGTAGCTGATGTTGTCCTATCTATTGGGGACTCTCGCCAGATGCTACACAATCTTCTTTACCAGCACAGAGTTGTTAGCGCAATTGAAGAGATGTAAGTGCTATTGAAGCCTTGACGATCGAACTAATCCGGGGGTATCTTATTTCTGGATGGAGTGATAGATGATTTCAGGGTTGTGAGAGCTTTGAAGCGGGCAGACAAGCATTTGAATTACATGGACGATAAAGGATGCTCTCATCCATTGTCACAATTGTCTCGAAAAAATTTAGGCGCATTTCTCAAAACTAGCGATGCCATCTTGAAAGACGTGAGTGATTCATTGTTGAAGCAAAATTGGGACACAATCACTAAATCTTAATATTTAGCTGAAATTTAGCTTAGTACCTGTTTCTGTTCAACTCCTATCAGTATAATTGACAGATCACTAACTCCACGCTTCCGGAAATGGCTGAAGCTCAGAAGATCTTGAGAGATATTGAGGAAAGAAATCTACCAGTGAAGCTGGATGAAGTACAGTGTGGTTCTTCCTGGGTTGATGGGGTGAGCTACCATTTGTCGCAAGCTCTCATCATTTTTAATTTCCTTTCTTGTATGTGGTCCTTCTACGACTACTTTTCCTATATCCACCTATTAATAAACATAGTTACAGGATTTTTCGAAATAGAATTCTAGCGAGATCAGAGGAATAGGCTTGGAGAAATGGATTCATTCCCCTCTACTTTTTTCCGTCATAAAGTCTTTTTTATTTATTAGCGTGTTTCTGTGTAAGTATTATAAGTGCTTCAGCCTCACGCCTTCTTCATTGGAAAAGCCCCCAAGTTACGCGATGTTGAGGTAAGATTGTCCTTGATTGCTTTGCTTTTTCCGATTCCGGTTAATATGAGGTCCTACTTCAAATGGCGTGCAGTGTAATGATTTTGTGGATCACTGGCATTTGAAAAAGCTGAGCCGGGGAGGAATCAGTAATAGACACGGGAAGGTATGTAGGTGGTAGCAGACTCTGCTTTAGGCGAGAACAGGAATGTGTTCTACGCTAGCGAAGATCTCTTGGCCGTCAGCCTTCGTACCCAATGAGCTCGCCGGATAATGTTCCAATCACCTATGCCACTTGTTCCTGAAGCCTCTACTCCACCTACCGAGGTCAATTCAGTCTCCCTTTTACCAAAGGAGTCTTCCCATATAGACGCTGATCCCCCTCTTTTCGCGGAAACCGCATGGGAAAGATTGACTTCTCTGATTCCCTGAACCTTTTCAATTTCTTTTATTGCTACACAACATCTTTACAACGCTGTATCCTTCACTGGTTAATCATCACAGTGTTCTCGCCAGTGGTGCCTATAGGCCAGATGTGACAAAGTGGGGAGACAAGCGGAATTAGTCGTAAATCGCGGGTTCTCACATTTGTTTTGTAGATTCTTCGTCGGGTATTGCTTGCAGGATGTTGTATACTATTTCTTTTCTCCCCTCTACATACATTCCTTAGGTGCCATGGTTTTTTTTAGAGATTAATAAGGCGATGGATCCAAGATGAACTTGGCGGAAAGATCGATGAGGAGGACTTTATGGTATTGGTGAGTAGATTCAATTCTTTGCAAATCTCCAATTAACTCAGCATTCATGCCATCACCAAGTTTAGAAATGACTATGCAAATTAATTTTAAGCATTTACAGGGGCGGGCTATGCATCGTGGTCTAGATGGAAGATCCCATCCGATGTCACGAGTACTGTTGTACGATAACAAGAAGGACGACAACAGCGTTGAGTATGTGGATAGAAAATGGGTGAGACTTCAAAACACCTGAGCATTTTCATTCTAATTTTCATAACAGGACCCGTTTTCTTTTTCAATGGTCACAGTTACAGATCATCTCTTACAGTCACTTTGCAATCTTCCACTTTTGACAACACTTCTATGCATTCGTATCATATAAGGAAATGTTTTTACATTTGCCTGAGTTTATAGGCTCTCTTCATCAATAACTCGAAAAAATTCATCAAAGCAGTTAGTAGGATTTCGCAAATACTCGCGATTTCGATGACCGTCCCATGTGTGAACATGGGGTTTAGAAGCTCTTGCGAGCAATGGTCGCTCTATAGAGTGTCGCACCCTCGCGTTCGCACTGGAATTGGCTAATCAGATCTATTCGAGACTATCGGGGAACACGCTTTCTTCACCCTTCTCCACTCTCCCCTTTCGTTGCTGCAATGGTACTCACTAGCGTAATCGTCAAGTCACACATACTTTTGTAATGTTTTGCGTCGTTCATTCTCTAATCTCCTATCCAGTATCCTCACCAGTAAGGTAATGCATGAGCTGCCTTAAAGATATGAACTCCAGCAGTGTCACAGCCTCTTTGTAGTGCTACCATTATTACAAGCATAACAGTGGCTGGCTTAATTGTCAAAGTTTGAAGTATAGCAAGAAGTTGTTATGTATGTGATCCCTGTCCGGATGCTCGAACAGTCATCGCAGAACCGCGTGGAAGTGGAGCTAATGTAGAATGGCAGGGGCTTCTTTCTATAGTGTTCTTCTACAACGCCCCACTTTTTATATAAAGGGTGTTTCCAGCTTCAACTAAAAGCACCTGAAGAAGCGGCAATATGGACGATTCGTCTATATGTTGTCCGTTCAATGCTAGAACCAGACCGTTCTCAAGTAATGGAAGCATTCGATAGGATCGTTACCTTGATTAGATTGCGACCGCAACGTGCACAGGTATGTATAAAGCCTGACTTTTGAAAAAAAATACTTAGGAAAAACTCCTCTTGCTTCCTCTTCCTTATACAGTGCGCGTCAATTGCTTATGCCACCACCACATTTTCCTATTATCTCGATTCCTATCTACTTCTGTCACATGTGACATACTGCACTACAGTGGACTGTGTCAGAGACTCACATATACGAGACATAAACCCGTTCAAAAAAACAGCTTCATTTTTACAGTTCATTTTAATAAATGTGCCGCGTCAAAATTGTATGCCATACTTCAACACATAATGAAAAAAACAGAAAAAAGCACAATTGGTAAAACATTAATACTTAGTTAGACCACCTACTTCACGAATAACTTCGAGGATTCTATTTGGCATACTGTCAACGCGATTTTGAATTACATTTTCTGGAATTGAGTTCCATGCACTTAGAATGGCTGCTCTCAGCGAAGAAACACTGTCATACTGGACCACCGGCAAAGACCCTGCGTACCAAGATACCCCAGAGATTCTCTATGGGATTTAG